GGACGTATACTGATTCATTTGGTATATCACATGTGTAGTGTTCTTTGGCAACTACGTGCTTAGCTGCAGCCAAGGTTTGAAACGGTATTGTAACCCTAGCAATACCGTTTCTTGGAGCTAGGTTAGGGTTAGGTTTAGAGTTAGGGTTAGGGTTCTAGCTCATCTAAACTCTCAAATCGTGAATTTATTTCCCAAGGCGTTATTTCGAAATCTGGCGCCACCGCCGCCATCGTTGTCTCGTTATTAAAGTATGAAAGCGAATGGACTTCCGTACCCGTAGCCTCGAGACATTAAGATACAGCTACCGTACCCGTAGCCATAGCTCTAGTACTATAGCCCGCTTACATTAACTGCCGCTGGCAGCGGCAGTTAATGTAAGCGGGCTATAGTACTAGAGCTACCGTAAGCCTAGCCACTGCCTTTCTGGCACACCCGACCGTCGGGCCAATAGTCACTTCCTAATTCCTAATTTGACGTATCTCCTCCGAAACCGCCATAAGGAATGTGCCCATTTTCCTCTTACCGGGGGGTTTCCAATGTGGCGAAGACGATGCGCTCTGTCACTAAGCTTTATTTTGCATGACAACGTTACTTCAGCAACATTTCAACGACAACAACATTTCAGCAGGTTGACCTTTGGTAAGTCTCCATTGCGATCGGTAAGTGCTGCCATCTCTACGAACAATTAATAACTAGAAAAAGCTTGCGTGGCGTCACTGGCGTGCGTTACACAGGCGAATCGGCACACAGGCAAGATAAATCTTAAATAACTACTCATAATATCATTATTAGTGTCTAACCGCCCCTTCTATCTTAGGTTAACAACGTGGAAAAGTTGGAGGTAACGAACAGTAGGCCTACACACTTACACACATGTACACACGCACGCATGCACGCACGCACACAGACAAGACAACCTGCATATGTTTACCCTGCATATATCTATAAACATTTCGGCTAAAAACTCCGGAGGGAGTGAATGGCTGGGCGTGAAACGTACACCACGCGTCGACAATGATTCCGTTTCCTGCCTCTCAACTTTGGATGAAAATGTAACCTCCGAAAATGTGAATTTGCGAGGGAAACCTTGAAAATCTGTACTCAATCTATAAATAGAACGAGGGATATCTGCTGTCCATCTCCAACGTGTTAATCATGTTCTGTAACCATACCGCCCCAGTGGCCGAATGTATAAAGCATCGGTCTCCAAAACCATTGATTATAAGTATTCGAATCCCACCTCGGGAAATTCTGTTTCTTTACTGTTGGACTGTTTAGTATGTACTTCTGCGACTTCACCGTTAATTTCAAAATTTAAAATTTTTTACTACATTTAAACTTTTAGTAAAAATCCAGAATAAACTATGGCACATGATAATAATAGCGAAAACTGACAGGAACACTTTACGGAAGCCTATATAGGTTACACATCAAATATTATTATATTTTTTATATAATTTTATTTTATTATTTATTATTTTTTACTTTTTTATTTTAATGTCTTTTATCTTTTGATTTCTTATTATTTTTTATTGTTTTGGATGGGATGGGATGGCATGGCATGGCAAGGCATGACATGGCATCGTATGTCATTGGATTGCATGGGATATGGGATGGGATGCGGTGCGATGAGATGGGATTGGCCATGGAATGGCGAATGGATAAATGGATGGCATGGATAGATAGATAGTTCGATTTTTTGGGGTAGGCTTTACCCAAGCGGTCACTAACTGTGTAACGCGACTGATTTCCTCGGGTAACGCCGGGTATCCCGCTAGTGCTATCTGTTGTCCATCTCCAACGTGTTAATTATGTTCTGTAACCATGTGCATACCGCCCCAGTGGCCGAATGCATATAAAGCATGGGTCTCCAAAACCATTGATTGTGGGTTCGACTCCCACCTCGTGAAATTTTTGTTTCTTTACTGTTGGACTGTTTAGTAGTATACTACTTCTGCGACTTCACCGGTTAATTCAAAAATTTAAAATTGTTTACTAACATTTAAACAGTTTAGTAAAAGTCCAGAGTAAACTATGGCACATCATAATAATAGCGAAACTGACGGAACACTTTACGGAAGCTATATAGGTTACACATCAATAAATATATTATATTTTTATATTATTTTATTTATTATTTTTTATTTTTTTATTTTAATGTATTTTATCTTTTCATTTCTTATTATTTTTTATTGTTTGGATGGATGGGATGGGATGGGATGCGATGCAGATGGTATGGGATCGGATGTGATGGGATGGCATGCATGGCATGGCATGAGCTGATGCATGGGATGGGATGCGGTGTGATGGGATGGGATGGCATGGCATGACATGGCATCGGATGTCATTGGATGGCATGGGGTGCGATGAGATGGGATGGGATATGGAAGGGATGCGGTGGGATGGGATAGGATGGGATGCGCATGGATGAATGGATGCATGGATAGATAGATAGTTAGATTTTGGGGGGTATTTTCCTTTCAACCAAGCGGTCACCAACTGTGTAACGCCACTGATTTCCCCGGGTAACGCCGGGTATCCCGCTAGTATATATATATATATATATAGGCAGTGTCTTGTCTATGTCTCCCAGGGTACTGTCGGGACGTACCCTGGGTACGGTCCTGTATACCGGAACATTCCCTGGTAACTATCTAGCTAATATGGTTAGGGTTAGGGTTAGGGTTAGAGTTAGGGAGTAGGCGTAGGCGACTCCCTAGACTCGTTAGTGGAGTAAGCGAGGTACGGTCCGGCATATTAGATAGTAGTATTTAGTACCATATTTAGTAATTCGGTATACCGGAACGTACTCAGAGTACGTTCCGGCAGTACCCTGGGGGACATAGACCCTATCAGCTATAGTATCTACTAAAATAGAAGAATATTTTTGTTCAAGTTATAAAAAAATGTAAAGCAAATATATTCCTCGCTGATGCCTGATATGAATGATTATATCATCTCTTTCTATACTAACGATAAAAGAGTTCTAGCTGGCTTACTTAACGCAAATAAGATTTAAATCAGCCAGTAGGCCCTAGATGGCGATTTGTGTCCAAATGATATATACACCTGCATATCTATATAGCCGCTATTATTTAAATTAAATAGTATCTTGTTGATATCATTCATTTCATTTAGAGAGTACATTTAGAAAGTATATTCACCAGTCATAACCTCTCTAATTATCTCAAATTTAATTACAGCACAATATAGTGATAGACCCGTGTTAGCGCATGCCTATCTGTCGAACAAAACAACAAGTTGTTAAAAATAGAGAACAAATAATCCGTAGTCTTATATTAAAAATAAATTATTTTTACTTATGATAGGGTGTCCTGGTTGACGTGGCACTAAGGATATTTAAGTCAGCCTCTAGATTACTAATTATTAGCATTACTATTGTATTAGCTAGTATTACTATTGGGAGGAGGGATTGCTACGTTGTCTCGTCGTTTCCGGTCATGCATATTGCTTTTCAGACACGATGTCAATCTCTTGTCGTGTATTGTGACGT